AATGGGTGAGCGAAGAATGTGGGGCGGGCGGGCGAAAGGCGGAGCGGGCGGAGTGAACGCAGCTGTACATAATATTTTGGGTAACTGCGACGCAAGGAAATAAGCTACTTTATAATAATTACAAATTTCAATGAAGATAGTATATATTATATTTCAGCCATCTATTGTAAATGTCTCTTCATCAAACTGCCTGACACACGTCTTATAATGCTCATTTACTAAAATAATCTATGCTGCATTTCATAAAAAACTTTACATCTGGGTGCATTATACTAATATTTCGTTTATCAACTCTGTATCTATACATATGAAAAATATTGAAAATTATTTGATAATTATATTCCATTTACTCATTCTCGAGTATGACAAACAGTAGTATTGTAGATGACAATATCAGCAGCAGCAGTGGCATGAAAAACACTAACAATAAGATTCTACACTCACAGTCCTCTCCTTGCACTGACTGGAATGAGATTCCCAACACGTTTTGCAGGTCGATCAAAAAATCAAATTTCGATCGAGACAGTCCGGTTTTATCGACATGACTGCAAACCTCTAAGATAGGGAGATGTTTTAATCGAATTATTGCTTAAAAAATTAAAATGCCATTAGAGAAATATTAATTATCTCTCTCTCTCTCTCTTTAAAATAAATTATGAATGAATTGGATGCATTGATTGCCTATTTTGTGTTACCGGATGCGTCCAGACGTATGGCTATAGTCCCGTTATTGTAGTAAATGTTATATTCACGGAGGTGGCGGCGTTCCTCAGCTGCAACGTGAGATACGGCGGTGACCTATACGACGGCTTGCAGGGGTTTACCCTTCCAGGTCCCTTTGTCCGGGGGGCATTGCCCCAGCCGGAACAATCTCTAAGCTCCCGACAGTGTAGTTTAGTGCATGCAAGTGTATGTGCAATTGTGTGTGTGTGTGTGTGTCAGGGACGGCTCTACCATAAGAGTTGCAGAATCCCCGCGTATTCTACTTCTCTGAAATATATTCAGTTAATGTTTTGCTCTAGAAAATCAGTTTCTATATTTTTGGACGACAGTCAGTGTGTGCTCTCCTCGTGATTAATTCGCGAACCCAACCGGGCCCGCAGCGCTCTCTGAGGCTTCCGTGAGCTGCAATTTGAAGCTACTAAACATTTAAGTATTGCTAACAATTTCAGTTATCGGGAGGGGCTTTGCTCGCCCATAAGAGCATATTCGAAGCAGCTCTAGTGTTGTGAGGAGCGCCAATTCATGAATGATGCCGAATCGCTTGACGAAACTGCCGCTCCAATACGCGATCGCAGAAGCGAGAACATGCATCACGCATAGGTTTCTTAAAAGTGGATTGATGCAATGTTTTTCGGTGTTGTTTTGTCTTGTGTGTAGAGCATCGTGCTATGATAAGGCGTATTGATCTGCATATGCGAAGGTGCCTTATTAACTATTCAAATTGCGGTGATAATATTCGGTTGAAAATGAATTCTGTGAGTTGCCTCATTGAACTGCTATTTTCTTCATTGGTTTATGAGGATAAGGTTCGCGTAAGAGAACAAGGCAGATCCCTTCCGGAATTAATACCCGAAGTTATAGGCAGCATCCGGGGCAAAATCTTTACAGGTGTTTCGGTAGACATGTGAAAGAAACAAGTGGATAAGCGAATGTGATCAATTGGATTATCTTTTCTATTTTCTTTATTTTTGGGTAGGAGTGTGTAGTCAAAGACAGAGGTAAAAGGTCTTGTCCATCTCTCCGCCAAAAAAAACACACGAGAATTCGAAGTCACATTTGAATAAAGAATTTCATTTATCACTTCCTGGGACAGTGAAAGAACAATCACAACTGCATTCTGCTTATTGGTCGAATATACAGAAACACAATGAAAATGTCACGAAGAATAGGTATGTTCTTTGGAAAATAATAAATTTTAATACATTTTGTGGAGGGTTTAAACTCGCGAAAATAATTTAATTGTAGTAATATGAAGAGTCCAATTTCTAATTTCGGCGGTGCAGAACTACGAAGGGATTGGAGAAGCAATGAAGAGCACAAAAGCGGCAGTTCCACATCATGCAGCAGCATCTTTCAGCACGATATTTTACTTTGCGTTATTGTAAAATCGATATTTTTATGAACAATTTCATTAATAAAAACCAACATTTTTTCGTTTTCTATTTTTTAGGTCATATATTAGTTCAAAGGAAATGTGAATATTTAAAGATGAAGTATAATTTCATTGCCAAAGATCATATTCTTAAGGGAAAAATATCCTAAAAATCCTTTCGACAATTACGAAAATATTGTATCCTAGTTCCGCGATGAAAAACCTAAATGATCTAATACTATCTAAATAGTCAACAAATTAAAATGTTTCTACCAAATCAATCATTCCCTTCGTCTCAGAGAAACTTTTATTTACTTCTCCCACACAAATAAGCAATGATAAACGCTCCAAAACATTAATTCAAAAAATTATATTTCAACATAAAAATTGATATCATTGTTCTTCTATCTATAAAAAATGTGACAGAAAATATTGTTAAAACTATATGTGAAGTGGGGCGATGTGAGATATAAATTAAATTACTTCCATTATATTGTATGCCAGGATTTATTGTTTTTCCAATCAAATAGATAACTGTAATCGATAACCTGGGCAACGCCCAGATTGCTAGTAGTCTCATCCAAGATCTCTTGCACACTGAACAAATCTTGACATCAAGTTCATGCATGAACACATTATACTTTCCCTACAAATTTTAGCCGATATAGAATGGGAAATTATTTGCCATTGACACAATTTTTAATTCGAATAAAAACGAATAAAAGTAACAAGAAAGTGATAATCTCGTACCAATCTTGCGACTAATATTGTCAATTTGTTTCCAATTATGTGTACTTTTACAATAGTATAAATACATGGCTCCGTTATTATTATTACTATTATTACTACTATTATTATTATTGCTTATTTCAAAATTTGTGAGCAGACGCTTGTGGATCGGAGGCACGTGTTGAAAATCAGGCCTTTGGCTATGACAGTTCCTTACGTCTCGGTTCACAAATTACATACGTATTTATTTTCCTTTTGCATCTAAGTAACACATTTATCATATTCTTTTTCATAATTTTCGTCTGCTTTAATAACTTCGTCAATTACTTCCTTCAGTAAAGGCTTCATTTACAGGCCGAAGCTCGCGTGGATTATTGTGCCATTTATTTAATTTCCACACAATCACGCATTGGAACAAATAACAACTGTCAATTAAATACCAAGAGTTCTGTATTTAAGAGCGTTAGTCAAGCATGGACCTAACGTACCGCGCTCATCAAATTGCTGATTCTGTAACCATTTATCTCTTCTAATAATTTTATAATATTGACATAAAACAACATTTGCAACTTATTTGTAATGTTGCTTTATTGCGTAAGTATATGTTTTTTCACAAGCGACGTAAGGAGCGAGTTTTAAATTTGTATGAAGCATATCATTATAAATTTGTTGCATAATACACTATTGTGTTCCATATTCTTTGTAGTTTTAGCAATCTACATATTTTGAAATTAATTTTAAACATAGGTACTGAAATTGTTAGAATAAACACTAAATATAATTATCTTAGTTGTTGATACTTACTGCAAAAACGAAGTTGAAAATGAAAACGAGGTATTTCACTAAAGATGTTGCGCACCCCATATTGAGATATTTGTGGATTTCGCTTCCCGTCCACTGATATTGGGAATATTTGTGACACTGAGTTGCCCCGCTGGGTGTAGTACAAGCGGATGTCGTATCTTATCTAACGCATTATCTCAAAATTACTCATATCTTTCCCTCGAAGACACTCACTGACACTGGGCGTCATTTGTATCGAAACTGATACAAACAGGTCGGAATACTGTGTAATGTCACTAATAAAACGTCAAGTACCATTAGTTCCAACATGATACTTTTCGCAAAAAATAACTTTTGGAAATAAAAATCACGAAAAAACTAATGATACTACAACAACACAAACTTTCTTGCATTATTTTTAACTTCTTAAATTTTCGAAAATACAGAGTTCACCCAAAATGAGACAAGCTCTATGTTTTATCTTTCTCTTCTTCGTACGAGGGGAAAAAGAAAAGAAAAAACTGAAACCGTTTTTGAGAAAAAATGTAGGCAGATTGTGGAATAAGGTCATGTACAACTTTTCAAAAATATAAGTAAATTTTGCGTAATTTTGCGCGAAGTATAGGAAGTTTATTTTTTGTCTAAAAATTACTTCAATTTTAATTTTCTCCTCGAATCTATCAAACGTCTAGAAAAAAAATTGATGCAAGTCTCATTTTTCGCAAACTCAGTATTTTCGAAAATTGCAAATATTTAACATTTCAAAACCACAAAATTGAAGATAAGACTATTTTGCCTTAAACAATAAACTCGTTAAAAATCAGCTCATTCATCATATACAATTTTAAAAAAAGAAAGTGTTTTTCGCGTAATTTGTGCTTAAAAGTAATACAATGTTTTCTAACGAAAAATTCCCGTTTTACTTTCTCGTATTCAGAGTTATAAGAGTAATATAAGAAAATTTATGTAATGTTGGGCGAAAAGTGTTGTTTTGCTGCAGAAAACACATTTTGTGAGTTCCTAACACCGTAAAAGATTTTTTTCATCTATACAGACTGTCCCACCACCTATGGACCACCCCCATAACTTCTAATCGGTTCAGGATCGAAATGCAGTTTTCACTAAACAATGCGGAATCATGGGGCAAGTAACATGCTATATAGAAATTGTATATAATATTTTTAGTATTCAATAAATTTAATGATCTTTTTTTAATGGAACTATATATTTGTCTCACCGGCAAAGAGGAATAAAATGATGTATTATATGTTAGTAATTTTAGTATAAAATTAGACTGTCTGGCATGTGATTTTGAATTAAACGGACAGAATTTCGTGCAGCAGCCCTTGGCTCGCCTTCGGGGAAGGTGGCCTTTGCGGCGTTCACACTGTTTCGTGGGGAGAGGAGTCTGAGAGGGATGGCCGTGAAGGATAGAGGCGTAACTACAGCAACCGATGGTCTTGACACGAAGAACGTACGAACCAACATCAATATTAACGATGAGGATGAGAGATTTTTCCCCATTTGTTCATCTGAATTAAACTTCTCTTCTACTGAAATTCCAACGCTACGATAATAAAAAAGAACAAAATAAAGAAAAAGTTTAGCTGAAGGACGATAATAATAAAAGTCATTTTCAAACTTACAAGAATTGAGTTCAGTCTGTTACAGTAGAAACAAGCCTTCATTTGGAATGGGAATGAATACTTAAAGATTTTCATTGTAATATCTCGATTAATTAATCAAATAATAGATAGTAGGTAGACATTTTATCTTATTATTTACTGTTAATAAACTTCCTATTTAAACACGTACCAAAAGAACAAAACACTAAACATTTTGAAATACTTTTAACAGTTCTATCCATGTTAACTTCCTAACTTTAACAAAATACACATCTGGAGTCCCGACTGCAAATTGGAAATTGGAAAGTTTCTCACTTCATAAAGCCACGTACTGCCACGGACTTGAAAATCCTTTAGAAGACGGAAGTGTACTATTTTTTTTTTTTCATTTATGAACAGCAGTGTACAGCAGTAGTCGTATGGTTGCGAAGTGGACGAGTGATCATCTTAATTAAAAATGAAATTTCCCAACGAATAGACGGTGGTTGGATTCTTGTTAAGTATGAATATGATACTTATTAATATTATCTTCCTTGCGTTACAAATTTTTTATATCGTTCAGTGGAATGATCGTTGTTTTGGAACTTCTGTAGAAGACAAGTTAAATACAGACGAATTAATGGAAAAACTCTCTCATTTTGATGGTTAAAATTGGTGTGGCCTCTGTGTCAAGACCATAGATTGATTGCAATCCACAGGATGGTACATGCTCCATGATTCGGTATTGTTAAGCAAAAACTGCATTTCGATATCATGAACAGTTTAGAAGTTATGAGGGTGATCCATAATTGGTGGGTAACTGTATATGTAAATTAACTTTTTGTAAAACGTACCGTCAGAATCCACATTTTGTGGTTCCTTAATACCGAAAAAGCGTATTCGTTTCCGTTGTTGTTGGTGAGAACGTACAGTGGCTCAATTTAATATTCAGACACCTAGAAATCGTTGATTCTGCTATATTTTGACGGTTGTAGGAAAAAATAAATGCACGAAAGTGAAACGGAATTGTTGCTTTATTAACGGATAACAGTATAAACAAAGAAAAGTGCAGAATGTAGCTGACGGATTCGATAAAAAAGAAATCAAAATAAAATTGTTTGGATTCATTAGCCACAGTAATACTCGGACACATGAAATGAAATATAATATAAATGAATAAATTCCTTTCGTGCCAGTACTGTATTTCTACTCTTTGAGATCGATGTTTAAGGCATTAAGTTATCCAATCTAGCGCGATACCACGAATTCCATAAGAAGGTAATTTTGATAGCAAGATGTTATTGTCAGTAACGTCAAAAATTTTCGAAAGATCTAAAGATATTCCAATGATTGATTCATTTTAGTCCATTGATGAAGCAACATCTTTAAGAAAAGAAAAAAATGATAGTTTCCGTAGATTTTGATTTTCTAAACCCGTGTTGAGACTGAAAACGCTTCGTTTTTCCTGACAAAAGTTTCCATTTGCGTATAGAAAAGCTTCTCTAATATTTTAAAGAAACCTGACAAAAGAGAAATTGGTCGGTAATGTTGAATTTCTTTTTTGCTCCCTTTTTTAAAAAGTGGCTTATTTTTTGCTGTTTTAAAAATATCTGGAAATATTCCTGTGCATAAAGAAGCATTGAAAATGTTAGTTAACGGGTGTATAAAGGTAATATCGTGCCCATTCTTCCTGGATTCTCGCTTGCAGATGGGACTTCGACTTAATTGGAATTCTCCTGACTGTACATTTCAATTCATGCCATAAATTCGCGATTGGGCTGAGGTCAGGAGGCTAGGACGGCGTGTCCAGTACTATTGGACAATTATAAAAGAACCATTCGCACACTAAATATTATTTGTGTTCCGGATCGTTGCCTTGGTAAAATTTAAACGAGTTCCTGATGCCTAGTGTGTCAGCAGATTTTTGCGAATTCTCTTTCAGTATGTTGAGATACTTATGTTTGTTCATTGAGTCTTTCATAAACACCATCTCCCCCACGCCAGAAGCTGATACGTAGCCCCACACCAATGTGTCCACCACCGCGTTTCACAGTTGACACTACGTTTTTAGGGTGAAATTCTGTATTTGGTTTTCGCCATGTCATTTCCCTATCGTCCCTAACAAATATATTAAACTTTTTTTCTCATCTACAAAAACTACCTCACGCCACCACTCCTCTGACTTCGTCACGCATTCCGTTGCAAACTGAAGTCGTTTAGCTCTATTCCCAGCACCGATAAAGGGTTTCTTCGTGGTCGCTATGCCGTGATATCCGGTATTCCTAATTACTCTGCGCACTGTTTCGGGGTGCACAGATGTCCCTGACGCTTCGCGCAGTTCCGTTGCCAGCTGGACGGCACTCACCTTCGAATTTTCTCGTACTTTCCTCAAAATTTCACGCTGCTCTCTTTCGCAGATCTTACGTTGTCTTTGTTGCGGTGTAGATTCAATTCTGTCTTCTTTCTCAAATCTCTTAATTATATCGTGCACTGTGCTCTTGCTTATGAGTAAAAGATTTGTAATCTCCCTGCAGGAACGTCCCTTTGCGTGGTCGTAAAACCACGAGTTGCCTCTGCTCGAACGTCGAATTGTTTCCCTTGTGCCTCATTGCAAGAGGTGTTTCCAGACGGAAATATTCACAGTGATTGACTGCATAATTTCGTTTGTCCTGGATAGAGGATGGTGAGCTTATCGCGCTATTGGGAGAGTGGCGAGGGTGTAAGAGGGCATTTTCCATTACATGTCCGAGTATTAAGGTGACTTCGTATTTTTGCATATTCTCACACAGATCCGTGTTTATGAAACGTATGTATGTATCAGAAACATTTATTTGTATTATTTGGTTTCCTAGTAATAAAGTCACAGTTCCTTTGCATTTCCTCACATGTAACTTCCGCGCACGTGCGAAAAATTATTCAAACAAGAAACGCCTTCAGTATTTGTGGCTGTCCCAATACTGGTGTGCGCCATTGTACGTCCGTGGACAATTCTAGCGCCTAAACTATTCGTGTCATTTTTACCAAAATGAATATTCTACGATCGATCTACCCATCTTCACGCCCTGCAATTTTGAAAAGATTTCTTTGAATGTTGAGAGTTTTTCACTTGAATCTCCGGGGACATTTTTTAACTTTTTCCAAAAGAAGGTTCAAAATTTGTATTAGCATTTTTTGGAAGAATGTAACCCTTATAAAGATGGCATAGGTTCGATTACCAGTGTAAACCTTGAATTTTTGAAAATACACAACTTAGAATTGGAAAGCTTGTACTGTACTGTACATGTCCAAGGTGTTGCTCGAAAATTTTCGGCGTTCGTTGAGGGATACACTGTAACACTGTCGCTGTGCTTCACCATAAATTAATATTGCGATATTGATCTTATTTTCGGGAAATGTCACTGTAACGCTGACGTCACGTGCCGGAAATTTTCTCTGCGCTGTCTCACACGTGTTGCATTCCGAATACTACAGCCACTTTAAGACTATTACAAAAACAACAACAACAACAACAACAACAACAACTGGCAATGCTGTACCTATTCACGACGACTTTGGTGATCGGTCGAGGTGTATGACTTCG